TGGAAGTCCACAAGTCTCAAACTTGCCAAGTTGGAAGACCCTTTCCCTACTACCTGAGATAAAAACTCACCTGCTCAGCCCAGTTGGCCGAGTTCTCGCTACTAAACCCAAATTAAACAAAATTAGACACAGATTGCGTGACTCTGGTGTCCTTCCCTTCCGCACGAAATGAATCAAGTGTTGACTTTAGGGCTGGCAGGAAAAGAGCGATGAGGTTTTCCTTCCTGTCATGTCTAAACTTTCTCCTAGTTCAGCCTTCCTAACCAATTATTAGGAGAACCAGCCTTAAGATGCCTTTCATCTAATCCCCCAGCCTCCAACAACAGACCACTTAGATGCTCCTGGCAGATAGCCTGCTCCTGCCTGGGGAGGATCCATGTTATAAAGGTGACTAACACTTCCAGGAGAGAGTGGACACCTTTAGTGAGTTTTTCCTGAGCCCAATAAAGGGATTTTAAGTACCTAGAGCAAGGGTCTCCAACCTTAGCAACTTTTAAGCCTGGAGGACTTTAACTCCCAGAATTCCCCAGCCAGCAAAGCTGGGAATTCTGGAAGTCCTTCCTCCAGGCTTACACTTGCCAAGGTTGGAGACTCCTGACCTAGAGTATGTATGTATGTATGTATGTATGTATGTATGTATGTATGTATGGTCATGTGAAGTTTGTGTCTTATGGCAGCGAGTTCCGCTATTAATTTGGGGGTTACTTAAAGAGAGATTTTGTTCACTGACTGGACCTGTATTATTATTTTTTTAAACGACATACTAGACATACTTAGTTCCTGCAATCTCCAGGATATCACCAGTAGGTTCACCCCAACTGGGCTAATCCTGCTTCCGGATTTCTAAGGTCACAAACACACCCCAACACACAGACACACAAAACTAATCAAACGGAATTTGCAAACTGCCAAAAAAGCCAACTGATTTCAAAGCTAATTTCTTCAAAAAAACCTCCAGCGATGGAGCTCCCGCAACTTCCGGTGGCAAGCAGTTCCACCGGTTAATCGTTCTCACTGTCAGGAAATTTCTCCTTAATTCAAGACTGGATCCGCTCCTTGATTTGTTTCCATCCAAGTTGCCGCTTGTCCTGCCCTCCGGTGCAGGAATAGGTTGACCCCCTTCTTCTTTGGGGTAGCTCCCCCAAATCCTGCTATCATGTCACCCCTCTCAAAGTTGGAATTTTTTTTCTTTTGTTTCTAGGTTCGGAATTGGCTCTCAGATAACAGGTAATCAGAATTGGAAGGGACCTTATAGGTCATCTAGTCCAACCCCCACCCAAGCGGGACCCTACACCATTTCTGACAGATGGGAGTCCAATCTCTTCTTGAAGGTCTCAAGTGATGAAGCAACTTCTGTTCCATCGGTTGATTGTTCTCCCTGTCAGAAAGTTTCTCCTTATTTCCAAGTTGAATCTCTCCTTGATCAGTTCCCATCGATCGTTCCTTGTCTGGCCTTTGGGGGCCTTGGAGAATCGCTTGACCTCCTTCCTCCTCTCTGGGGCAGCCCCTCAAATATTGGAAGATGCTCTCCTGTCTCCCCTGGTCCTTCTCTTCCCTAGACCAGCCAAGCCCAGTTCCTGCAACCGTTCTTCCTATGTTTCAGCCTCCAGTCTCCTCCTCATCCTGGTTGCTCTTCTCTGCACTTTTTCTAGAGTCTCAACATCTTTTTTATAATGTGGTGAATTCGCTTTCATGATCTTCCATCAGTTGCTTCTTGTTATTTATTTATTTACTTATTTGTCAAGCAAGTATGAGATAACAGGTATAAGTACAGAATAAACACGGTTATGAATACATGACATGAATACGAATTTAAAAAAAGAAACGATAGGACAGGGACGGTAGGCACGATTGGTGCGCTTATGCACGCCCCTTACAGACCTCTTAGGAAAGGGGTGAGGTCCATAGTAGACAGTCTAAGGTTAAAGTTTTTGGAGTTTGGGGAAGAAACCACAGAGTCAGGTAGAGGATTCCAGACATTGACCACTCGGTTGCTGAAGTCATAGTTCCTGCAAATCAAGTTTGGTGCGGTTTACCTTGAGTTTGTACCTATTGTGTGCTCTGGTATTGTTGTGGTTGAAGCTGAAGTAGTCATTGACAGGTAGGACATTGCAGTAGATAATTTTATGTATTATACTTAGATCGGACCGAAGGTGGCATGGAAAACAGCTCAACTGGTTGAATGTCCCTTCTGCATGCAATCCCAGGCAAAAAAAGCTGCACCGCTTGGATTTCTGCCTGGAAGCACCTCTCCCTCCCCACCCCAAAGAAAAGCAGAATAAACGGGGTAGAGAGCCCCCCCCATTGTACTCCACCAAAGCATCCCTTCTCCCCCCCACCCCCATTTCCCGTGGGGCTCGGCCACCAACCGTTTCTTTGGTGATTCATACTCCATTTCTACTCGATCATCCTTTTGGCAGGGGGATCAGAAATTCCCATTCCTGGCGTCTGAATCACCCACAAATGCACAAACGGGTGTGTGTGTGTGTGTGTGCGGGGGGGGGGGGAGACAGGGCCTGCCAATCGGTGCCTTCATTTCCTGCTTTCCCCCCCCCCCCCCCCCCCCCCCCCCCGCCCACCAGCCGTAGAGGAAATGGGGGAAACTGAGTCAACTCTTTCGTCCCCTTTTCATCAGCCTGTTATGAAACCCGGCATTTTGGGCCCGGGTGGAAACGTGATGCGCTCACATGACTCGCCTGGGCACGTGAAGATGCTTCCTTGACCCGGGGAGGGTCTTGCCAACTCCGCCCCCCCCTCCTCCAATTGGGTTCATGTAGTACCTTCCTAATGCTTAACGGTGCGTTTTAGTGCGTATCGACGGAAGGGTAAAAGGCATCAGGCTAAGAAACTAGGAGCGTGAGTTCTAATCCCACCTTAGGTTGGGTGGTCTCTGGCCAGCCGCGCTCTCTCAGCCCCAGGAAGGAGGCAATGGCATGTCAAGGGGTGTGAGTTTTAGTCCCACCTTCTTCCCTCAATCCATCCCTCCTTCTCCTCCGTCCCCCTTCCTTTCCTCCCTCCTTCACTTAACAACCAGGTGACTACTTTATCCACTGGAGGAATTCACTTAACAATTGTGGCAAGAAAGGGGAAAAACTCACTTAACCTCACTTGAAATTTGGGGCTCCATCGCAGTCGTAAGTCGAGGACTACCTGTATATTCTGAACCCCAATTCTGCCATTCAGGGAGCTGAGTGGTTCCCCAAAAACCAACAGATTTGGTGCCGCTTTATATTTTTTAACCCCCCCTTAAATATGATTGCAATGCAGTCTGCCCACTGTTCCTCCAACCGAAGACGCCAAGTTGTACTAAAATAGTTGGTGCGTATTTATTGCAAATCCGTGAAGAGTGATTAAAATTTTTTTTAAAAAAGTAACTCACAAAAACACACAGGCTATTTACAATTCTGTTTCTTTCCCTTCGGCCAGCAGGACGATGGCATCTCGGCTGCATTTTAAATCAACTTTACCCTGATATTTGCTAGCTTCCAGGCCTGCTCTGTGCTTGGGTATTTCAGAGCAGCTGTGTCTGCAGAAATGCACAGCGGTAATTTTGTAGTGGTTGAAAAAGTAGCTTTTTCTAGCTTGATAAGGGACCACAGAACTTCGCCAAAAGGACTTTGTCAACTGTAGTTTGCAGAGCGGTGGATGCAAATGATCGCCCAAGCACAGTGTTTCTCAACCTTGGGAAATTTAAGACGTGTGGACTTCAACTCCCAGAATTCCCCAATCAGACAGGCTGCTTGGGGAATTCTGGGGGTTGAAGTCCACCCATCTTAAAGCTGGCTGGGGAATTCTGGGGGTTGAAGTCCACCCAACTTAAACTGCTGGCTGGGGAATTTTGGGGGTTGAAGTCCACCCAACTTAAACCTGCTGGCTGGGGAATTCTGGGAGTTGAAGTCCACCCACCTTAAAGCATGCTGGCTGGGGAATTCTGGGAGTTGAAGTCCACCCATCTTAAAGCTGGCTGGGGAATTCTGGGGGTTGAAGTCCACCCATCTTAAACCTGCTGGCTGGGGAATTCTGGGGGTTGAAGTCCACCCAACTTAAAGCATGCTGCCTGGGGAATTCTGGGAACCAAAGTCCATCCGTCTTAAATCTTGCTGCCTGGGGAATTCCAGAGGTTGAAATCCACCCCTCTTAAAGCCTGCTGCCTGGGGAATTCTGGGAACTGAAGTCCACCCGTCTTGCAATTGCCCAGGGGGAGAAACTCTGCTTTAGCAAACCATGGCTTATCAAAGTGAGAGCCGGGTCTGCATTGAGCTGCTGGTACAGATGTAGGGACAACGAGGGCAGCCGAAGACGGGAGCTGGAGAAAAGGCTCCCTGGCTCAAAACGTCCTTGTTCCATCAAGCGATCCAAACTCCACGACCGCCATTTGCAGGAAGCGGGAGGTTTGGGCTAAGCTGCCACCCGGCCCCAACCCGCAACCCACCCGCCTTGTCGGAACCACAACTCCCAGGATGCCTTGCGCCACCCATAGCTAGTAGAACCTTGTCCCGAGCAGCTTGGTGTAGCGGTGCAGCGGTGCGTTGGTTTTTGCGAATGGGGGGGGGAATACTTTGGTGCATTTAAACATGGTGAAAGCAACGTTTAAAGTTTGTTGTTCCTCCCCTCCACAGCGATGTTCTCTCTGCAAAGAGGGGGACCGTCGGTGCTCCCCCTCGTTGTGGATTACTCCCGGGGGGGACGGGGGGGGCTGGGCGAGGGTCTCGGGGTCGGGTCAGGGTCGGCAGTGACAGTCGTGGGCCAGGCGAACGGTCTGGAGGTTCAAGGAGCCGTCCTCTTTGAGGAAGAGGAAGGGGAGCAGGGCCTTGCGGGGCCGGCAGCAGCGTCTCTGGCGGGAGGAAGAAAAAGGGGGGTGAATTTGGGGGTTTCCCCTAGGCCCCTTGAGCCCTGGGACCTCTACAGGCAATCCTTGACTTATAACCGGTCGCTGAGTGAGGGTTCGAAGTTACAACAGCACTGAAACAAGCGAGCTACTACCAGCGGTTGGTATCCAGCTGGTTTGGACGGGTTTGGAAGAACCAGTAGTGGAAATGTTGAGTAGTTTGGAAAACCGGCCAATCCCGCCTCTGACTGGCCCCACCCCCATATCTATTCTCCGCCTCCCAAGTCCCAGCTGATTGGCTGGGTCTTCCTTGGTTGCCCTGCACAGGAGAATGGAGCTGGAAAGCAGGTTAGTGGGGTGGAGGGAAGGGAGATTTCACAGTATATCCTTCCCCTGCCATGCCCACCAAGCCATGCCCACCAAGCCACGCCCTCCCAGGCCACGCCCACGGAACTGGTAGTTAAAAAATGTTGAATCCCACCACTGCCTACTACTGTTTTGCACCCTTACGACCGTTCCGGCATCCCCTTGGTGATGTGATCCAAATTTGGATGCTTGGCAAGTGATTCATAGTTATGACGGTGGCAGTATTCCCGGGCGATCTCCTTTGTGGCGGCCTTCCAAACTCAACGGGCATGTCAGATCCACTTAACGAACCACGTGGTTCGTTAACACCCGCCGCGAGATTTCCTTAACAATTGCGGCGAGGACAAGTCGTAAAACGCGGCCAACATTCGCCTAGCAACTTGTCCCGCTTAGCAACAGAAATGTTGGGGCCCAATTGGGGTTGTAAGTCGAGGACTACCTGTAGGCCACACACGGCTGAGTGGAGTTTCAATTATCCTTTTAGACCCCCCCTTCCTGGGTCTGCCTGGACTCTTGCGCCAGGAACCGCCCGGCATCTCCGCCCCAGCTTTACCTGTTGGGCATCCACCTGGCCTTGGTGGAGGCCACAAGCCAGACTCCAGAGATCCAGCTGTGACTCTTCTTTGATTCGGTGGCAATGGCAGCCCAGACATTCGGTGAAGACGAAGGAAGTGGGGCTCAGCACCCAATTCTGCCAGCCAAGATCTGGGTGAGCGGGATGGGGGATGGGGGGAGGGGGGGAGGGGGAGGGGGGGGGGGGGGAGGGGGACAGAAGGAGGAGGGAGGGGGAGGGAGAAAGAGGGAGGGAGAAGGAGAGAAAATGAGAGGATGCACACACGTTACTTACACAATATTTCAATTTTAAGAAGGGACTGGACAGTCAACTTGTTTGGAATGAGCTTGAGCAGGGGGTTGGACTAGAAGACCTTTGAGGTCCCTTCCAACTCGGTTGTTCTGCATTTTGTATCCCTAATCGTATTATACACTGCTCAAAAAAATAAAGGGAACACAAAAATAAGACACCCTAGATCTGAATGAATGAAATATTCTTATTAAATACTTTGTTCACTACACGGTTGAATGTGCTGACAACAAAATCACACAAAAATGATCAATGGAAATCAAACTGAGCAACCAAACTGAGGTCTGGATTTGGATCTACACTCAAAATTAAAGAGGAAACAAACACTACAGGCTGATCCAACTTTGATGTAATGTCCTTAAAACAAGTCAAAGTGAGGCTCAGTAGTGTGTGTGGCCTCCACGTGCCTGTATGACCTCCCTACAACGCCTGGGCATGCTCCTGATGAGGTGGCCGATGGTCTCCTGAGGGATCTCATCCCACACCTGGACTAAAGCATCCCCCAACTCCTGGACAGTCTGTGATGCAACATGGCGCTGGTGGATGGAGCGAGACATGATGTCTCAAATGTGCTAACTTGGATTCAGGTCTGGGGAACGGGTGGGCCAGTCCATCGCATCAATGCCTTCGTCTTGCAGGAACTGCTGACACACTCCAGCCACATGAGGTCCAGCATTGTCATGCATTAGGAGGAACCCAGGGCCAACCGCACCAGCATATGGTCTCACAAGGGGTCTGAGGATCTCATCTCGGTACCTAATGGCAGTCAGGCTACCTCTGGGGAGCATATGGAGGGCTGTGCGGCCCCCTAAAGAAACGCCACCCCACACCATTCCTGACCCACTGCCAAACCGGTCATGCTGGAGGATGTTGCAGGCAGCAGGACGTTCTCCACGGCGTCTCCAGACCCTGTCACGTCTGTCACATGTGCTCAGTGTGAACCTGCTTTCATCTGTGAAGAGCACAGGGCGCCAGTGGTGAATTTGCCAATCTTGGTGTTCTCTGGCAAATGCCAAACGTCCTGCATGGTGTTGGGCTGTGAGCACAACCCCCACCTGTGGATGTCGGGCCCTCATATCACCCTCATGGAGTCTGTTTCTGACCGTTTGAGCAGCCACATGCACATTTGTGGCCCGCTGGAGGTCATTTTGCAGGGCTCTGGCAGTGCTCCTCCTGTCCCTCCTTGCACAAAGGCAGAGGTAGCGGTCCTGATGCTGGGTTGTTGCCCTCCTACAGCCTCCTCCACGTCTCCTGATGTACTGGCTTGTCTCCTGGTAGCGCCTCCATGCTCTGGACACTACCCTGACAGACACAGCAAACCTTGCCACAGCTCGCATAGATGTGCCAACCTGGATGAGCTGCACCTCCTGAGCCACTTGTGTGGGTTGTAGACTCCGTCTCACGCTACCACTAGAGTGACAGCACCACCAGCATTCAAAAGTGACCAAACCATCAGCCAGAAATCACAGGAACTGAGAAGTGGTCTGTGGTCACCACCTGCAGAACCTTTATTGGGGATGTCTTGCTAACTGCCTCTGCTTTCCACCTGTTTATTCCATTTGCACAACAGCGTGTGAAATGGATTGTCAATCAGTGTTGCTACCTAAGTGGACAGTTTGATTTCACAGAAGTGTGATTGACTTGGAGTTACATTGTGTTGTTTAAGTGTTCCCTTTATTTTTTTGAGCCGTGTATATTAGATTGATATTCTACCTTGGTTTGCTACAACTGAAACCATGGCCTGTTACACTCTCTTGTCCTCTTCCCCCAATAAACAACCACCTCTGAGAGAGAGAGAATCATTGTTCAAATCCTGTAAGGCTCTCATCTGCTTGAGCAGGGGGATGGACTAGAAGACCTCTAAGGTCCCTTCCAGCGCCGCTATTCTGAAATTCTTCATTTCTGCCCTAAGCTTAGTTTCTAAATTCAGTTTAGTTCAATGGGAAAACGGCTCTCTGTAGCATTTGCATCAAGACAGAATTAATGTGCGACCTTAGCCACTAGGGAGCATAGTTACCTATTTTTTAACCTGCCATATTTTTCACTTTTTAACCAGTTTTTTAACCCGTTGTATTTTTTTACTACTATTTTTTAACCCAATATATTTTTTTATATTTAGCCTATTTTTAACTCATTGTATTTTTTACTTTCTAACCTAGCTTTTAATCCTCTATTTTTTTTTACTTCCAACCCATTTTTAACCCAAAATATTTTTTCTTTTTTAGTCCATTTTTAACCTGCTGCATTTTTTTAATTTTTAACCTATTTTGAACCACTTGTGTTTTTTTATTATTTTTCAATCTATTTTATAACCCACGGTATTTCTTTTTATACTTTAATCCATTTTTAACCGATTGTATTTTTTACTTTTTAATCTATTTTTTAAACATACCATCTTTTCTGCTTTTCTAACCTATTTCTAATCTAATGTATTTTTTTATTTTTAACCTGCTTTTTCAACCTGTCATAACACCCTACCCCGACTCATGGCCTAGTTAACAAAACCAGGGCTTAAACTATGCTTTAGCACAAGGGTCTTCAAACTTGGCAAGTTTAAGACTTGTGGACTTCCACTCCCAGAATTCCTGAGCTAACCTGACTGGAGAGGAATTGTGGGGAGTGGAAGTCCACAAGTCTTAAAGCTGTCAAGTTTGAAGACCCCTGATTTAGCAGAATGAACATGTTATTACAAACCTAGTTGATAGTTTCTTAGTTTATTCAACCTGACCAATTCAGTCAACAAACCAGGTTTAAAAAAAATATTACTTTCTTACAGTGGTGGGATTCAAATTTTTTTACTACTGGTTCTGTGGGCGTGGCATGATTGGTGTGGCATGGCTTGGTGGGCGTGGCAGGGGACGGTTACTACAAAATCCCCCTTCCCTCCCCAGCCCACTAACCTGCTTTCCAGCTCCGTTCTCCTGTGCAGGGCAACCAAAGGAGACCCAGCCGATCAGCTGGGACTCAACGGGAGGCGGAGAATAGATGGGGGCGGGGCCAGTCAGATGTAGGATTGGCCGGTTCTCCGAACTACTCAAAATTTCTGCTACCGGTTCTTCAGAACCTGTCAGAACCGTCTGAATTCACCCCCTCTGATTACTTAGCAAGGAGGAGGATATTTTTTTCTTTGGCAGAAAGATTCGCCCACTTTTTTTTTTTTTGAAGAGCCCGCTAAACATCTTGGATTGTCATATTAATAATATTGTGATATTAACGTATGATTTATCGTATTACCATCCAGGGTGACGCGTTGCGAGATCTGTAAGCAGCCTCCTCTTCGGCTCACCAATGTCTGATTGGAGGTTATATCTGAGGATCAAAAAAGAAAAAAGGTAGATAAGCAATTTGTAGTCTTTGACTTACGATGGCTCGTTTAGTGACAGTCAAAGTGACAACCACCCTGAAAAAAAAAAACCCTAGGACCATTTTTCACACTTAGTTTAGTTTAGTTTACTTTATTGTCCTTGCACCTCGCACAACGAAATCAAACACCATCTTCAGTGTACATCTTGACCATGAAGACAACCACAAACACACATCCTTCATCCTCCACATTGAATTGAAATCCCCTGATATTGCATTCATATTGCACTATACAGTAAAATTTAATAGAGTTACTGTCCTGGGATAGAAGCTACTTTTCAGCCTATTTCTCCTTGTTTTTATGATTATCCTGTACCGTCTGCCAGATGGTAATAGTTCAAAAAAAAGGGGGTGCCCAGGATGAGATGGATCTTTGAGGATGTTTTGAACTTTCTTAAGGCAGCGGGAGCTATAAAGCTCTTCCAAAGAGGGGAGAGGGCAACCCAGGATCCTCTGGGCCATGACATTCACCCTCTGGAGCACTTTCCTATCTGCCCCTGTGCAATTGGCAAACCTTACAGAGGTGCAGTGAGTTAAGATACTCTCTCTGGTGCAGCGGTAGAAGGTCACCAGCAGTTTTCCATTCGGTTGTTGTTTCCTGGGAAGCCTCAGGTAGCATAATCTCTGCTGGGACCTTTTTGACCAGGGCTGCAATGTGGGCCCCCCAGGTCAGGTCCTCTTTTAGGGTAACACCCAGAAACTTCAAACTGGCCACTTGCTCCACTCGGTCTCCGTTGATAAGCCAGGGCTGGAGGCCTGATCTGTTCCTTCTCTAGTCCACTATCGGCTCCTTGGTCTTATTGGTGTATTACTTATGACAGTTGCAGCATCCCCATGGTTGCCTAACCAAAATTCAGGTGCTTGACAACTGACTCATATTTATGACGGGGGGGGGCGGGGGCATGGGATGCCCCTTTCGCAATCTTCTGCCAAGCAAAGGAGAAGCCCAATTCATTTAATGACTGTGTGACTTGCTTAACAACTGCTGGGATTCCCTTAACTACTGGGCGAAGACAGGTGATCCAACGGGGCAAAACAAAGGCCTACCCTGAGCAGCAGAAATTTGGGGCTTGGTTTGTGGTCGTAAGGTTGAGGACGAGCTATGTTTATTTGGAAGAGAGGAATTTAAATGGTTCTCGTTTCACTTGAAGCTATCCGGAGGAGTAAATCCTTGAAGCCGACAGCGAGAGAAAAAAAGAAAGCAGCAGGTGTGCGCTGGGTATAATCTTTGTGCTAGAAAAGATATTGAATTAGAAATGTCCTTTTTTTTGGTACAGATAACACCAGGCAAGGTTTATTTTTTAAATTTCTCTAACCAGCTGTTCTCCTTCAAAGCCAGCAAGGAGTAAAAAAAAATTGTTTCTGAAATAAGAATAACCCTGAGGATTGGCAATAAACACAGAGCGAGGATAAATAGGCACCCTATCGTACCCTTCCAGGCGAGAGCTGAAAGAATTCACAGAGTTTCCTATACAATGTCAGATTGTCCAGGGAATTTATTAGACAAGGTTTGGGATCCGTGCAAAGTTTGGGTTTTCCAGGAAGGGTGAATCTAATGTAGAGTCTAGCAGGCTTTCTCAATCTTGGCTACTTTTAAGATGGGCAGATGTCTTCAGTGCTCAGAATTCCCCGGCCAGCATGATTTACTATTGGTGAGTTTCATAGAACAGCACTGGAAGGGACCTTGGAGGTCTTCTAGTCCAACCCTCCCCCTCCCTTGAGTAGGAGAATCTGTATATCCTTTGGGACAAATTGGCTGTCCAGTTTCTTCTTAAAAACCTCCAGTGTTGGAGCACCCAGAATTTCAGGAGGCAATTCATTCCACTGGTTAATTGTTCTCCCTGTCAGGAAATAACAGACTAACGGAGTTGGAAGGGACCTCATCCCAATTCAGACAAATGGCTGTCCAGTCTCTTCTTAAAAACCTCCAGGACTGTTGGAGCAGGATTAACTGTTCTTACTATCAGGAAATTTCTCCTTAGTTCTAGGTTAGATCTCCCCTTGCTTAGTTTCCACCCATTGCTTCTTGTCTTGCCTTCAGGTGCTCTGGAGAATCCAAATCTCTCTTCTTTGTGGCAGCCCCTCAATTATTCAGTCGTGTCCCCCCTAGTCCTCCTTTCCATTAAACTAGACATACCCAATTCCAGCAACCGTTCTTCATATATTTTAGTCTCCAGTCCCCTAATTATCTTTGTTGCTTTTCTCTGCGTTCTTTCCGTCTTTTTTTGTATCGTGCTTACCGAAACTGGATGCAATGTTCCAAGTGTGGTCTTGCCAAAGCATGATAAAAGTTATTAACACTTCTTGTGATCTTAATGCTATCCCTCTGTTGATGCAGCCTAGGATTGCATCGGCGTCTTCTGGCACTCATCCAGGAGGGGTGATCCACCAGAGAGATCCCTTTCATAGTTAAATACGCCTTAGGAGTAGCCAAGGATGAGAAGGACAGCTTGTATGAATTATGTACTGTATGTAGTTGGCTTGAATTTGACTAAAGTATGGGATTTAAATATTTTCGTCAAAATATTAGGTTCAGATGTTATCTCTCGTTGACTGATCCGTTTCAAGATGTACAAATTCCTACAGCGAGAAAAGTTGTAAACTGTTCATTCCTGTTCCAAATGCCCGTAAGGACATTATTATTATTTATTATTAAGTAGGAGGGGTTTTAAAATTCCAAATGCTCAGAAACAAATGTCATGTGTATGTACGTTAGAAGTTTTTCATTTTAATCGCAGTTTTCGGTTTTCAATCATAAGATTCTCTTTGGGGCGCTTAACCTTGTAGGAGCTTCTTTTAGTCAATTTTGTAATAATACATTTTTATTGTAAACTGCCTAGAGTCACAGGTGAGATTGGCAGTATAAAAACATGATTGATAAACAAACAAACAAACAAACAAATAAATAATAAATCATCTTGAGCCAGGAACCACCTATTCTATACCTGTGCATTTGATTTTTCTGACTGCAAGCATCAACCGCTGCTTTTCAATTCATTTTATGGATGGCCAAACTAAGTTTTCTATAGGTTGCCAAGGAAATTCCTTAGAATTATTGTGTTGAAATCTCCGGTTTCAAACGCAAAGTGGCAAGGATTTTCTCCGCTTCCCTGGCGATACCAGCTGAGATCATCACAAACCCTGATCGCCATAGATATGGTCAAGACGGCAATTTCCCAGAGTTCCCTTGCTAGAGACCAAACTGGCCAGGAACCCTGGGAAATGCGGTTCTGCCATCTTCAGGTTTCCTCATCGGAGCAGTTCCAGCTCTGTGGACTTCTACTCCCAGAATTCTCTGCAGCGAACTTGCTGACTGGGGAATTCTGGGAATGCAAGGCCACACAGCTTGCGCAACACGGATTTAAAAAAAGAAAAAAAGAAGATTTTCCCAGGCTGAATTGCAGCTTAAAAACCGGATAGACGTGAAAGCTGGATCCGTTATGCAGTGAAAAAGCAGAAGTGAGTATTTCGTACCAACTATTTGACGTAAATGGAACAGATGGCTGTGGTGAGTGATGAATGGCAATGATTTTTAAATCCTCAAGCAAACAGCCAGCAAAGTGTAGGGAATTCTCTGGTATGAGAAAGGGCGCTCTTGGTAAGCCCATGCGCACTCTTGTGACTCAACATCCTTACGACATGCTTAACTGCCTTGGGACTGAATTTTGTCACCTTTTCTGGGTTTGCATTGTCCAGTAGTTGGGAGTCGTGAAATACAGGTAGTCCTTGACTTACGAATGCTGGGTTAAGCCCAACGTTTCTGTGGCTAAACAGAACATGAATTTTGCCCCCTTTTCCCACCTTTCTTGCCACCGTCGTTAAGTGAATCACTGCAGTTGATAAGTGAGTGATGCAGTTGTTAAATTAATCTGGCTTCCCCTATGGACTTTGCTTGTGAGAAGGTCACAAAAGGGGATCATGTGACACCCCCCCCAGGGCATTGCAACCGTCATAAATATGAAGCAGTGGCCAATCGTCCGAATTTGGATCATGTGACCCTGGGGAGGCTACAACAGTCGTAAGTGTGAAAAACGGTCCTAAGTCACTTTTTTCAGTGCCGTTGCAATTTGGAATGGTCACTAATTGAACTGTTGTTAAGTCAAGGACCACCTGTAGCTCACCATGCTTGGTTTAATCCCACTTGGATACAAGATTTATACAGCTGGGCAACTGCATTAGTTAAGACCAGGGGTCTTCAAACTTCAAACTGACAGCTTGAAGGCTTGTGGACTTCAACTCCTCCAGAATTCTTCGAGTCATGTTAGCTCAGGAATTCTGGGAGTTGAAGTCCACAAGTCATTAAACTTGCCAAGTTTGAAGACCCTTGGTTAAGACTTTTGGAGACCTGGGGAACCCATTGTCTCTGAAATTTAGAAGTGAACCCTGGCACAGGATACAGATAGATACAGGTTAACAGAGTCGGAAGGAACCTAGTAGGTCATCTAGTCCAACCCCCCACCCAAGCAGGAGACCCTACACCATTTCTGACAGAGGGCAGTCCAATCTCTTCTTGAAAGTCTCCAGGGATGAAGCTCCCACAACTTCCAAAGGCAACTTCCCTTCCATGGGTTGATTGTTCTGTTAGAAAATTCTCCCTTACTTCCAGGTTGAATCTCTCCTTGTTCAGTTTCCATCCATTATGCCTTGTCCTGCCCTCAGATGCTTTAGAAAATAGCTTGACTCCCTTCCTCCTCTCTGGGGCAGCCCCTCAGATATTGGAAGATGCTCTCCTATCACCCATGGTCCATCTCTTCCCTAGACTAGCCAGGCCCAGTTCCTGCAACCGTCCATTGTATGTTTTATCCTTCCCTCTGAATCTCACTGGAGGTCTCAGGGAAGGGGAGATGTCAGACAGAAAGGAGGGTGCAGAAGGACACTTACTGAGATGCCGTCCTCCGACGGAGGGGTCCAAAGACCGCCTTCCCTCTCTGGCCCAGTCTTCCTGCACCTGGCGAGTCACGCTGGCTGTCAGCCGGGGTGGGTGGTCTAATCGTAGCAGCTGGCACATCACCGTCCTTGCTCGCTGGAGGATGTGCTCCCGACAGCTGTGAGGGGGATACAATCGACACACGAGCTCAGCCGCAGGGATGGAGCGAAATGTGGGGTAATGGAAAAGAGGGGGAGAAGCTGCCCCCCCCCCCCAATTTTTCTCCTGGAAGCTGCTAAATAAGGCGTTCCTGCCTCGAAGGCAGAAAGGAATAAATGGGGATAGCTATCTATCTGCCTATGTATTTGTCTGTCTGTCCGTCCACCCACTTGTCCGCCCACCCATCCATCCATATCTGTCCATCATTTCTCCATCCTTCCTTTCTTCCATCCATCCATCCTGCTCCAAATGATGATGATGAATCTACCTAGCTATCTTCTATCAATCCATCATCTATCCATTCATCATCTATCCATCTTTTATATTTCTATCCATTCATCCACCATCTATACATCCATCGCTATCTATCTGTCTCTTTTATATTTCCACCCATCTCTCCATCCATCCATTGTTATCTATCCAACTATCTTTTATATTTCCATTCATCCATCAATATCTATGTATCTATCTATCTATCTATCTATCTATCTATCTATCTATCTATCTATC